GAATAATTTTCAAATGCTGAACCAGCTTTGCACTTGGCAGATAAACCCAAGCTGGCTTGTGTATTATCCTGCTTGATTAGCTTTGCTGTTTCTTGAGAATTTTTATATCTATGGTTCATGAGGATTATTGGGCTGAAGTTTTCTCTTCTTGTAATGCATTTGGTTTCCTCTTAACAAACAAATTGAGAGTTTATTTTGTTAAAAGATGAAAAACAATAATTGTATGCTAGGCATTATATTCAATGCTTACTTTACTTTTAACAGCAAAGCTACAAAGTCCTGGCCAACATTGCTGTGACTGTCACCTTGCAGGTGGAGGAACTGAGGCACAGACTGCAATGATATGCCTGCAGTTACACAGCGTGGAGGCACCAGTCAGCCCCCAGAGAGCCAGCTCCTGATCCTGCAGTCTTAGCAGAAATGCTTACTATATTTGCACTAATTAAAGATGTTTAAAGGCTAAAGAAAACATACGTGCAGAGCTGAGTCCAGCTGAGGCTGTCAGTTTTCTGTCTCTGAGTAATAACTGTGCTAACTGCCAGGTGTCAGCGGATTCCCTACATGCAGCCCAATTCAGGTCCTGTTGCTCCAGATCTTACCAGCCTGGTCTGGCCCCTTGAAAATGTCCCTTTGGCCGGCAGCAGACAATGTCAAGCTAGTTCCCCCTTCCTCATCCTGTCTCCCTTGACATCATTGGCATCTTTCAGAAAGCAAAATTAAAAAAAAAAAATCTTTCCCATCTCAGTGTAATTGGTATGGCTCAGTCTTATCATGGGGACTAGCTCATCACGCCGGCTGCTGTCTTCCCCTGGTGTTCAGGCTCATCCTTTTCTCCCACTGTCTGGTCCCCACTGTTGGAGCTGCTGAAGCAACTTTGGTACCAGGCATTGAACCTATGGCTATCCTACCACAGTGCTATATCTCCTGTCTTGTTAATGTAGTTTTAAAAAAATTTGGGACAATGTCTCACAGAATTGTCCTGACTGAGCTTGAACTTTTAATCCTTCTGCCTCAGCTTCCCTCTGTGCTGGCACAGACCACCACACTCTGCATCTGCTGGCTTATTTCATGTGTCTTGAGAGATGAGAAACATTTTGCTTAATAAAGGAAGAGGAGGAAGCTGGGCCCGGTGGTGCGCACCTGTAACCAGAGTACTTTGAGAGGCTGAGACAGGAAAATTCTAAGTTTGAGGCCAGCATGGGTAACTCAGTGACTTAGTGAGAGATTGTTGCAAAATAGACAATCAAAAGGACTAGGGATGTAGTTCAGTGACAAGGTCCTGTGTTCAATCCCCAGTACCTCAGAAAACCAAAACCAAAAGGAGGAAGAGGGAGGGTGAGACAGCGTTTTAGGAATGGGTCAGGAACCAATGTTCTCCACTCTTCCCGCAGCCTGAACCTTGCTGTAATGAGTGTGGTGAGTGTGATTAAAAGAGCAGGTGTGTTTGGGTGCTGGTTGGACCATGTCCCTGTAGACCAGATGCTTCACTTCTTTGGATCTCAGTTTGCTCGTCTATGACATAGGCTAGTGATATACATAGGCCACAGGGTTGTGGTAGAGCAAAAGTGCCATATCCTAAGTACAAAAACTTGGGGGTTTAGAAGAACATGAGGAAAACATGCCTTCCTCGGGCCAGGCACTGGATGGAAGGGAAGCTTTCTTTTTTATCTTTTCCTTTTTCTGGAATGGGGTCCTTCCTAGGTTACCTGGGTAGCTTTGAATTTCTGAGCTCACATGAGCCTCCTGTCTTAGTCTCCTGAGTAGCTGGGACAGTGGGCTACAGGTGAGTGGCACTGTGCTTAGATTTTTAATAGATCATCTTTTTAAATAGGTGCTACCTATGTGGGTCAACGTGAATAACTGTTGTTTTACTGATGGGACAAATTGTGGTTCTCAGAGGTACAGAATGTGTAAGTGGCAACTTCTACTCATATTTAAAAGTATTGATTGATTGATTGTGTTACTGAGGATCATACCTATGGTGACTTTCTAGCACTGAGCTATGTCTCTAGCCTCTTTTATTTTATTTTATTCTTTAATTTTAAGACAGAGTCATGTTCAGTTGCCAAGGTGGAACTTGAAATTGTGATCCTTCTGCCTTAGCCTCCTCTACCCATAATTCACATTAGAATTTCTGGGATCCTATGCCAAGCCAGTTGAGTTACACTGTGGGCCCCAATTCCTTAAACTAAGGGAGAGGCCCACAAGGTGTCCCGAAGTTCTTGCTTCCAACCTAGGGGCTGGAGATAGTCAGCCATCTGCCACTGCTCCTGAATTACTGGCCCTCTCATGGCAAACACTCAACCACTTCCCATCCTTTTCTCAGTTTCCACCCACATCTCCAATCATCACTCCAACAATTTGGAAAACTTGGGGTGAATTCACTGCCAGGAACAATTAAAAATATAGCTTTTGACATTGTTAGGGAAGCCTGTGGTCCCTTGCTTTCCACCCAGCAGGGCTGTGCTTCAGTCAGTGGTGAGGTGGCCAGGGTCTGGTAATTGCTGCTGGCTGGAGCCGATATGGGGACTACTATAGTGAACTTGCAAGAGCAATAGCATACCATGCTGAGTGAGTTCCTCTGTGCAGCCCAGGGCCCACTGCTGGCTCATGATGGTGGTAATTAGGCCCCTCCTCCTTGTCACCCAGTCAGCGTTGTGGCAGCCATGGCTGTGACCGCACCACATGACCCAAGGCATGTGCCAGACACTGAACATTTCTCGTAACATGCACCATCATCTCCATCAGCACCATTGCTTCTCACCTGAATTCCAGGATTACTGCTCCCATTATCCCATTTTACACATGAGAAAAGTGAGACACAGGGACACAAAGGACTCCCTCCTTTGTAACCCCAGCACAGCCTGGATTAACTTTCAGTCAGCACTCTTATTTGGTAGGATATACTTGGCTCCTCTTACAAGTCTAAAAGAGTCACAGAAAAATCTTACTTTTGACCCAACCTAGTAGTCTGCTAACAAAACTGGTTTCAGCCACTGACTTCTGGGTGAGCCTGGCCTCCCCAGTTCTTCTTCTCTGGGATGCTCAGGCCTTCAGCATTCACCTGCTGCCTCTGGAACTGAGGCTCCAATGCATGGGCCCTTGAATGAAGGAGCCACCCCCAGGACACTTGGAGGCCCCTTGATATCCCCAGCACCTGCACACAGCAGCTGCACACAACAATTAGCTGACTGTACAAAAATGATGAACACCCACCACTTCTACTCCCGACCCTTGTTTCGTCAGTCCCCAAGCCCAGGGTGAGGGCAGGCCTAGCGTAGAGCCTAGCATGGTGTAGGTGCCAGTGCAGATCATGAAGTCTCTCGCTAGCACATCTGTGCAGGTCCCAGGCACTTTGACCTCCTTCCACAATGAACCTGAGCTTTCCCTCTTGCGTCCTGGCTTGGGGTGCTGGGAGGATGGCTTGTCCTTAAGTTCTGTCCTTAGAGCGTTTGCAGAGGAAGCCCTGGGGCAGTGAGTGAGCAGCCACCTCAGGCAGTAGAAGCATTGGATATTGGAGGGAATGGGGTCAAATACCTACCAATGGACATGAGTGGGCTGAGGGGAAAGGAGTTGTGCTGCTTCCCACCTGGCAACCATCCCTAGTAACCATCCTTCTCAAAAATCCATTTTCTAAGAGGCAGCTCTGGGGAGGGACTGAAGGCGGGTACAAGCTAGGCTGAAATCAACTCCAGCTCCAGGTAACTTCAGGAGGTGTGCTGCAGGGGGCATCAGAGGTGGGCTCCTCTCTAGGGCAGCTGAGCCCTTAGCTAAGGACAGAAGCCTGTTCCCTGCCTGGATTGCATAGCGGGCTCCCAGGTCAGTACCCTGATGCTTTCTGGCTCCTGCCAAAGTTGGGGGGCAAAGGGTCAGTGACTAAAGCAGTCTCATGAGCTGCCAAGCTGAATGCTGCTTTGGAAAGGAAATCTTAGCAGGGCTCTGGGGAACTCAGCTCCAAAGTTTTCAGGGTCCCAAGATGCCCACATTCACAGACAAGAGATGATGGGGTGGACAATGCTAAGATGCAAACCTGGATATATTTTTTTTTCTCTTTCTGGTCCTTTCTATTCCTCTCTGCCCTCTGCTTGTAAACGATCTGCAGGAATGTTTCTGCTGTAGAGACTGTGGAAGAAGGGACCATCCAAAGCTAGTCTCAGAAGTCCTGCTCTCCTCCTCTCACTGTCCCTCATTCTTGCACACAGCCCTGGCAAGTTTCCCTGTGCCCCCTTCTAACCCCCAGTGACTCTGCTCTCTTCAGGAATTCAACACATGTCTCAGCCACACTTTGGAGAGGACATTAAGATGGGGAGATGGGGACTAACTAGGCATCTGCAGCAGCGAGAAAGACAGAGAGAGAGAGAGAGAGAGAGAGAGAGAGAGAGAGAGAGAGAGAGAGAACTGGAGGCAAAGCTAGGGGGCCAAGCATATCCTCAAGGAGACTGTGACCCCCTTAGGTGGCAGCCTTAGCAGCACAGAGCGCTTACTGCTCAGAGTGGTCAGCAAGGGTACATGCCAGCGCTCCCAGCAGTGTCCAGCACCAATGTCTCCAGCTTTATCTTGAGTCAGGTAGGGATGCCAGAGGGGCAGAAGTGTCCCTGGCTGTGTGGGATGAGGGGAGAAGGGAAGCCTGCACCAGCTGCCTGTCCAGAATCTCCAGTCAAGTCACACACAGCCTCTGTGGACCCCGTCACACACAGAACTCATCCAGTGTACACACAAATGCATGCTAAAATCCACAGACCGCTCACTTTAACTCACGTACAATGCCCATAGCCTGCTGCGCACACTCATGGACACCCCCCCCCCACACACACACACAGTCGCATCTCTGTCAGGCAACTTCTTTTTCTCACAGTCTAGAAATCTCCACAGTTGTCCTTAAGGCTTAAACTTTCTCTGAGGAGACGCCAGGGAACCTATGGAAAGGAGGTTGGGGGTTCTGGGCAGGGTCGCTCCACGCTTGGGATCCCAGCTTCCCTCCCTCTCCCCACACCTCTCACCTGGTAAACCGAGGCACAACAAGAGGCTGTAGTAGACCACAGGCACGAAGCCCAAGCCGCAGGCCGAGCCGGCGGACCAGAACAGCGAGCTGTTGGCGTCGGGGAGGTGGGCGTGCGTGTGCTCCATGGGCGCCCTGCGCGCCCCCACCCTGCGCTCTGCCTGCCTCCCGACTCCGGACGCCGGCTCGGAGGTGGTGGCGGGCAGCGGCGGCAGCAGTCAGAGGGAGCAGCGGCGTCTGTCTTCCTGCAGGACTTGCTTCTACCCTTGTCCCTGGTCCCCTCTGCTCCTTCTGCACCTGCCCGCCTGGAGTCCAGCTGGGCCCTCGCTCGGGGCGCAGGGTGCCGGGTGCGCGGACTCGGGAGGGGCTCCCGAGCCCGACTGTGCACCTCCCACCTCGGACCGCTTGGCTCCCGCCTCGGAGCCTGGGCTGGGACCGGCTTCCCACAGCCAATCAGCAGCTGCCTGGATGTGGGATGTGGGGTGTGCGTGGGGAGGGTGTCGTTGGATGGATGGGGGAGGGAGGCTAGCTGCCTTTCTTGGTCCAGAGTCAGGGGCAAAGATGGGATTGTACCTGGAAACCCCTGAGGAAAATGGGGTGGAGAACAGGCCACGTTCTCTGCACCCCACCCTGCGGGAGGGGCGTGGTGTGGATAGGACCTGCTTCTCCCGCAGAGCCTCCCTATCTTCTGGCCTGTCCTCAGTTTGCCTTTTGTGATTCTGCTCCCAGCCTCGATCTCTTTCCCTCGCCAGTGTCTCCAGCCCATCCACCTATACAGAGCACTGTGCTTCCTGTGCTTGAGGGGAAGGGGAGCTGTGTGAGCCGCGAGGATGCCCAAGGGTTGTGAGTTCTCCGGACCTGGGCTTGCGGCCGGGAGGGGAGGCACGTACGGTTCTGGGGCTGCGTTGGCTCTGGCGGCGCCGGCGGTCGACCTGCCCCCAGCCTGGAGTGTGCATGGAGAGGACGCACGCTGGGGAAGGAGGATCCCGCGTCTTGCAAGCCCCTGGCCACACACTCACGCTCACACAAAGACACAATACCCGGTCACACCAGCGCTCACGCACTCTCAGGCGCGCGCTGCCCGCTCACCCCAGAGCGGTAGACGAAGGAAAATCACACAAAGAGCACACTCGCACTCACGCTGACCTCCCATCCTACACAAAGATGCACGTGGGGGCGTATAGGGTGGTCTGGAGTGAGGTGAAGGACAGGGTGCATGGAGCAGGTGGGGTCCCGGCAGTACAGTGAAGGGCGCCCTCTTCCCCTCAAGGCGGGCAGGTGGCTTCTAAGAGCAGCACTTCTCAGGGCACCACAGGCGCCTGTCCCCGGCTTCCCACGACGCGTGTGAGATACAGTTAAAGGTTCTGCAGAAATTCTCCGGCACGTGTTTGCAGCAGCAGGCTTGGGGCTTGTGATGCTCTCAGAGGTGGCTAAGTTGCCCACTTTTCCCTCATAGCCTCTATCCCCAGTAGCATCTGTTTCTGGAGCAAGAGCTCTGGTGAGGTTTTGCCCAGGCTTCTCCAGGTTTCCAAGGTGGGTGGAATGCCTGCCTCTCAGACCCAGCAAGGGACTCAGGTCATCTTTCTATCTTTGTTAGGTGCTCTCTGGGAAGGGATTGGAGCAGTGGAGGGCCTGAGGCAGGCAGAGCCAGGCAGTGAGGGCAGGCGGGAGGGTCAGCTGGACTTGGACCAGGCTGAGGGAGGCGGACCCCTGGCCCCCTGCAAGGGCAGATCATTACAGTGTCATGGGCCAGTGAAACCTGGTCTGATGTTTCAAGCTAGCTGCCTTCTCTGCCTGGAATTCACTTCCTTCAGAAAGCTGCATGGTCTCCATTCTCTGCCTCTTCAGGTCTTTGCTTATATGTCCCTTTCTCATTGAGGCTTTTCTTGCTAGCCATATTCAAAACTGAAATCTCTATTTCTCTTCATCCTGAATAATTCCACTTCCTTTGTCTCTCCCCTGCTTATTTATTCTGTATTGGTATGCTAATACCATACACATTTTATTTGTTTATTTATTTTTGCGGAACCGGGGATTGAACTCAGGTCCTTGCACTTGCCAGGGAAGCGCTTATTCCACTGAGCCATCTCCCCGGCCCCTACCCATACACACTTAAAAAAAAAAATATAACATTTCACTTGTGTGCTTGAGAAGGGCAGGACACTGTCCCTTATATCCCTGGCTGACTCCCAGCTCCACACAGTGCCTGTGTGTTGCAGACCCTGCTCCTGATATAGAAAGAATCAAAGTCCCACTAGCCACCACCCAAGGGCATGTGCAGCCCAGGAAGATGAGTTTGTCTTTGGTTTTGTAACTCAGAGTGTCTGAGGACAGGATGCTATTGGGGTTGGGATCACAGGCTCAGATTTAGTGTGTGATTATTGTGTCTGACCAGCCAGTCCACAAAAATGGGTTGAGTGGTTTGAACTGAGGCCCATTGCTAGATACTCTTTATAACAGTTAGCTGGCAGAGGGATTGGGTTGTGTGAGGAGCATTGAGAAACTCTACTGTGGCTGAGCCTCTAGCTCTTCATTGATGAAATGGGATGAAGGAAAGCAGGAATCCCTTTGGCCCCAGACCACTGAGCAGGGAGAGAGGCACTGAGTGCTGAAGACAGTGCAGACTGTGATTTTTGATGACAAAGGGCTGGGTTGGCTTTTCTTTGGGTCCCACCAGGATCCTTGGACTAGAGTTAAGACTTGAGTCTTCTGGGAAATGGATAGTTTGGATGAGAATGTCTTTGCAATCTTGGGTCAGGATTTGGGTGTTCTTGGTCCTGAGGAAGGGACAAAATGAATCAACAATAAATGTCTGTTTAATTTTGCTGTAGGGCTGACCCACTTGGTTGGCTCAGTAGGTCAATGGCACACTTTCCTGGTGGGCTAAATCCTTTCATTTATTTATTCTTTAAGCAGACTTTCACTGGACACTATGTGTGCTGGTCACATAATTTGTAGAACATGATGCAACATTCGAAACATGGGACCCCCTGTTCAAAAGTGTTAAGAATTTGAAGATGGCAACCACAGAGAGTGAAATCAAGTGTGCGACCTGTGGGCAACCCAGCTCACATGCCCAGGCAGCTGGACTTGCTGGGGCACAGAGGAGAATGTTGGCATAATGAATGGAGAGTTACCGAGTGCTCACTAAAGACTTGTTTTTTAAATTTGTTTGTTTATTTATTTATTTGTTTGGTACAGGGTCTTACTGCACACCTCAGACTCATAGTGATCCTCCTGTTTCAGTCTCTCCATCCCTGTAATTACAGGTGTGCACCACCACACGGGTGAGGCATGCCCAGAGTTCTGGGGCCAGCACAGCATGTGGTACTGGGGATAGAACCTGGGTTCTTGCACTTGCCAGGCAGGCGCTTCAAAACAGAAGACAAGGTACACTGCAACAGTGGGGGCCAGTAGAGTGCAGTTAGGGTGCCTCGGGGACCACTTTGCCAGAGTTCCCACTCAGAATGATCTCAGTCATGATGTGTGTGTGTGTGTGTGTGTGTGTGTGTGTGTGAACATGCGTGTGTGTATACATGTGCTATCTTCCCAGCCCTGTGACACATTTTCTACGCACCATGACACTGGAGAGAAGGTGCAGTGTTCAGCCCCATTTTATAGGTGAGAACAATAAGGCACAAAGAAAGCCACTGATTTGGGAGTGAGTCCAAGGCAGCATAATCCCGTGCTGAAACCACCAGGATACTCAGGCTCATGGAAGGTCACGTATGTGCCAGAAAATTGTCACATAGTGTCATGCAGGCCCCCAGGGCAGTGCCAGACAGTTGTCCAGGAATAGATCTTAAATGAACTCATAAATAAATATAGAAGAGATGTAAGCAGATTGTGAAGGGAGGAGCTGTAAACTCAAATGCCTAAAAGTCTGTGTGGATAATAAACGTGAATGAGGTAGAAATATTGTGCGTTCTTCACTTCCCTGAAGAAAGAAGGCATCTCCTGTTTTCCTAAGAACCTTTGGGCTTTTTGGTTTAGGCTCCATTTCTCCTTCTTTTGATAGTGAGTGTGGACTAAAGAAATGATTCTTTAGGAAAAACAGCAACACAAACATAAACTGCAACCAACACATTACTCACAGTTGACAGTGCTGCAGGGAGCAGGAGGGACCATAATAAAATAGAAGTGTGCATGCAGCCGCCGCACCGGGCTCTGAGTAGATGGTGTTTTTAAAGTGATGTGGTCTCTGCTTTCCTGGATTGTAAAAGTTAAGTGCAAGAGATAGGCAGGAACACACACACACACACACACACACACACACACACACACACGCACACACACACACAGGCACACTTGGATAAGGATTATAAAGTGACAGTAAAAGAAATGAAGGAACATGGACCAGGAGATCTTATGTGGATGCTCTAATAGTCAGAGAAGGCATCCCTGATGTGGGAAAGATAAGAAAGGGTTAAGTAGGTGAAGAGATGTGAGAAAAGGGTCTAGGGAGGTCTCAGGCCTTGGAAAGAGTAAGTGCAAAGGCCCTGGCATCAAAGGAACTGGAGGACCCAGAAGTAGAGGCGACCAGGAGCTGGATGCACTCAAACAGTGGGCAGGGCTTTGTGACCAAGACTGCTTTCACTCCTGATTTGAGGCAATGGAATGTCAGACAGATTTGGATCTTTACACTTTTACTTTGACATGGAGGTGGGAAATTGATGTGAGGGAGCCAACAACAGAGGTCATGGGAAGACAAGAGATGGGGCTGTTAAGTGGGACATGTGGACAATGACAGTGGCTTGGACTAAGGTGGTGCTGATGTTGGGAGTGAAAAGGTGGGGGAGAGGAAAATGAGGGAGAAAAAGAAAGTCTGAGGGGAAAGGAGACACTCAACTTTATCTACATTTGTCTGTCTGTGTGCCTGTTGGTCTGTCTGTCTGTTTGCGGATCATTCGCCAGTGTTCCTATTTTCTCTTAGAGAGAAGTGCAAGAGAAACCCAGTCTGGAGATAGATGAATAGACTGACAAGGACATACACACACACACACACGTATACACATACACATGATCACACACACACACACACACACACACACACACACGACTGAGATCACTCTGGAGTGGGAGCCCTGGCAAAATGGGCCTTGAGACACCCTAACTGCACTCCGCTGTCCCCCACTGTCACGGTGTACCTTGGCTTCTGTTTTCTGCTTGTTTCAAAACACTTCACTCTTGAAGCCTTTCCTGACCTGCTCATCCCTACCACCCTGACAATACCTCTTGCTCCATCATGTTGGTGCTTGGGGTTCTCTATCACCTGCCTTCCCTGGATTCAGATTGCTCCTGACTAGGAAACGCATCCGTCCTTGCCTCCTCCCTACAGTCACCCGTGGTCGGCGTAGCATAATGTAGAATCAGACCTGGGTGGGACTCCCACTCTGCTTTTGAGTCACTGTAT